CCCCCAAAACCCCAAAACCCCAAAACCCCATTTAGTTAAAAATGTATAAATAAATTGTTAATTTTTAAAAATGGAAGATTCTACCGAAAATGCTGTTACTTCCAATAAAATTAAAATGGAAGAAAAGAAAAAGACTACAAAAGAGTTGGTTACAAAAATTTTTAAGAACTATATTGATGGTTGTTGTGACAATGAAGATTGAGTGAATATCTTTTGAAAATCAACTATCAAGAGAACGAACCCTGAGGCTGAATCGGTTGACAAAGCACTAGCCCTTCAAACAGCTGTGAAGCTTATTAAACATATCTCTTTAAATGAGTACATCCCAGAAAAATGCCCTCCTTTACCTTTGTGGGGAGATAGACTTGATGAACTCCTTCAAAGTGATGATAGCACTTTTCTTAGTGAAATTTCAAGAGTTTTCTGTAATTTTGAATCTCTTTCTTCATCTTTCTATCCCTTTCAGAGTGCTCACAGGAGATTCAGTTTGGATAACCAGACTATAGACATTGATTTTAATAGATTAGACAAGATTTATCAAAGAATTCTCAAAATTTCTGAAGAAGAACAAGGAGTTTTCGAGAAGATCATGGATGAATCTATTGACAATATTGCTGATCAATTTATGAAGTTTGATAATAAATCAAAGTTAGGTAAAAGATATTCCTATCAAATGGTCAGAATATTAGCAATCTGGCTAAGCCAAGAGATACTCTACGAACCTCAATTTGGAGAATTGATCAAGAAAATAGCTGATACATTCTTCCATTTCGAGGATCGGCAATTTTGGGAAAGAGATGTTGCCATGAATCTATTTAAAAATCTTACAAAAGAAAAATTCTTATGATGCTTTAAAGTGAATCAACAACATTTGACATTTACTTTGATGATGGAACCTGATGAGGAAGATACTGAAGAGCAAGAGAAGATCAAAAAATTATTCCTGATAATGGACTTCTTTTATTATTCCTCAAGAATGGTCAGACTCAATTCCATAAGCTTGAAAGAATTTCATATTGATGTAATCAACATTGAATGGAAAGACAAACTTAAAGATTTTTATATTGATTGGTTTAACTGTAGAAGAGGACGCTTCAACAACGAGACAGATATTGACTTGGACCTTGAAGTCAATGAGATCGACAAAAGGACTTTCCATAAGGTTCTATTTATCGAATATCCTTGGGCTTTTGATGCTGCCAATAAAGCAAGGCTGATCAATTATGATGGACAGATCTCAAAGAAAAAGGAACTTCATAATTCACTTGATATTGCTTCCATTTTACTAGGAGGGCTTAGTCCTTATTTGAAGGTTTCAGTTAGAAGAGATAACTTAATTGAAGACTCATTAAATTCTTTAGTTAGTGCAGGAGCAAATTTGAAAAAGCCACTTAAAGTTAAATTTGCAGGAGAGCCAGGAGTTGATGAAGGAGGAGTTCAGAAAGAATTTTTCCAACTACTTGTGAAGCAATTATTCGATGTAGGCTATGGCATGTTCGAATACAATAGCGAGTCTCAATTATTTTGGATCAGTAGGAACTCTTTCGAGATTCCTTTAAAATTTGAATTAGTGGGTATCATTCTTGGGTTAGCTATTTATAACAACCATATTCTTGATATTCATCTGCCATTAGCATTTTATAAGAAATTACTTGGAAAGAGAGTTAATTTGGATGACTTTGAACAATATGATCCCCAAGTTGGGAAATCCTTGAGAGCCATCCTTAATTATGACAAGGAGGACTTTGAAGAAGTCATGAATCTCACTTTCACTGTGGATTATGATTCTTGGGGTGAAAAACTGTCTAAGGAGCTTGTTGAAAATGGTTCAGAAATCAATGTGACTCTAGAGAATAAAGAAGAATATATTGACAAATATATTCACTTTCTAATGAATGAGTCAGTTGATAAATATTTTCGCAGTTTTAAAGAAGGGTTTGAGAAATGATGTGGTGGAGAAATGCTTCCTCGGCTTGAGCCTGAGGACCTGGAAATGATCATCTGTGGATCTAAAGTACTTGATTTCGAAAAATTAAAGGAGGCCACTCGTTATCATGACGGATATAATGAAAACTCAGAAACAATCAAGTATTTCTGGCAAGTAGTTAATGAATTTACAGAAGAAGAGAAGAAGAAATTTTTATTTTTTACAACAGGTTGTGATAAAGCTCCAATTAATGGTCTTGGAGAACTGAGGCTAACAATTATCAGACATGGAGATAATGAAGAATTGCTGCCTTCAGCTCATACTTGCTTTAATCATTTATTGCTTCCTTGCTATTCTTCTGCTGAAAAACTAAAAGAGAAGTTGTTGGTAGCTATTAATAACTCAGAAGGATTTGGTTTGATGTAATATCAGAAAATTCAGAGAATCCCGAAACTTTTGAATTCAATATTTCAATCAAATTATTAAAAATAGGGGTTTTGGGGTTTTGGGGTTTTGGGGTTTTGGGG